CAATGCCTACAGTTTATTAAATTCTTGAAAATTTACGTCGTTTTTATACACTAATCTAAGTAATGAAGGAGCTGTGAGTTTGAGACCGCTAGACTATATTTTCGTGCCTTCATCAGACTATTTCACTTGAAAATTATCTTCTGAGCTCTGTTCTTGCTTAATATGGGATCAGTGAAGGAAAGGCCGTAACAGTGTGTAAATTAAACAACAAAATCCAGAATCTATCATGCCAGGGGTGAACCAAACTTAACTTAGAAAAAAACAAAAAAGAAAATAATATATCCTTTGTCACCCTTTTGGAATTTTGGTTGAATGCTATCACCATGAGTTTCGCCACACAAAGTAAATTCAGAAAGTACAACAAAATTTCCGAAAACTTTCTGCATCTTAAATTTTCTGCTAAAGGATCCAAAAAGATCAATCTGTATTTATAACAGCTTACACAAATTTGTCTTTCAAAGGGCACGAAACGATCTGGGGACACAGGAGACAACATTTGAAGTATTTTGCTTAAATGTTCGCGTTGGGTGCCCTGAGAACTCCGAAAACAAAAGACACCTTAAACTCGAAAAAAAAATTACGCAATGTTTAAAAATGATGCACGGAAAAATTTCTAAAACGAAACATCCAAGGCTCAAAAACGGCGCATCTGAAAATTCGAAAACAAAATTGCCAACGTGATAAAACAATGAAACTAACACTGGTAACGTAAACTTTGCCCCAAGACAAACCAAATCATCCCCTTACTAAACGGAGCAAAAACCATTAGGTTCCGTATTAGCTTTTACGTACTGCATCATTCTATAACGAAAACATGCGGTGGTTTGATCAGTCCCACAAATTCCTTCTTTACAGATTTTCTTCGTGAGGAGCGCTAACATTTTGGCAAGCAAACAGCAAAATACGTTTCAAACTTCAGTATCAACGTGTATATTCTCCTCACTGCTTTACGTATGTTTTCTGTTTTGTTATTTGGGAGAATTACTATATTGATGCCATAACATTTTTCGTTGGTGATCAATTGGTATTTTCGTATTACCTGTATGTTTGATCTGGTAGTGATATTGTAAGGAGAATTACCACTTCGACTACATTTTTATTCCTCAAATCTTCAACAGACTTTTTAACCCTGAAATTGTCTTCTGAGCTCTGCTCGGGATAAAAAATAAGCCAGCAATGCGACTGATTATCGAAGTGAAAGAAAGGCAGAAACTGAAGAATATGCCGGTTGAGCGGAAAAAAGGAACTTTCGCTACTAAAAACGCAGACATATGTAAAATTTAGCATTCTGTCATGCGTGGGGTTAAAAAAAATCAACTCCAAATAAATAAATAAGGAATTATGTATCCTTTATAACCCTTTTGCTAATATTCCGTTGAATTCTATCACTATGAATTTCGCCCCCCTTCAGATTGATAATTCTAATGCTATCCTCTCCTTTACATTTCAAACTTTGAAAAAAAATATATTAAACAAAGTGAGGCTCCCTACTATTTCTTCTTGTTTCATTGTTCTGTAAAAAAAATAAATGGTTATTTGATGAAACCCACAAATTCACTCTCAGAGAACCCAACGAGCAAACGTATCAAAATCTTATTTCCCCGATTTACTAGCTGCTGTTTGCTTTACGCCAGAAATGCAAGCCGACCTTTTTTCGTGTTTTTGACGACATTTTTGCCTCTCCGTTAGCGAAAGAAATTATTTTTGCAGTTTAACGAAATTTTTGACCTGGTATTTTGCCGAATAATTTTTTTAGACTAATTCCGGATTTCTAAGGTTATTTACGGCTTCCAAACAGATTTTTACCGAAATGAAGCGTTGGATGGGCCCCTCTCTCTTTTTTAGGACTGTTTACGTTACAAGGGCTCACTAGACATTTTGGAATCACACCAACAAAACATCCTTTTGCAGTGAAAATCAATGAAAAATTTTGACACATCTGTGTTAAGTTGTTATTTGTTGTAGGTAGAATGAATGTTATAGTTCCATCATGAGCGGCACCCAACTGTTCATTTCGGTGGATATCTGTTCTGACGGCATTGATATCCTCATAAATTCCGATTTAATCGTACACAAAACCTAAAATTTTCTTTGGCAAACTGTCGGCTCAAAATTTCCTAGCACTGAAAAACTACATGTACTGTATTTCCTGTCGTTTGTAGGGAGCAAATATGAAGATCGTTAAAAATATGTGTACAAGTTTACGTCGTGACATCACAACGTGAATATGATGGGCTTTGAATTTTACGTCGTAATTTGACAAAACAAAATTAACAGCGTGTTTTGTTGACACGTGTTTATGACATTCACAAGACGTTGACATGACGGGCAAGGATTACGTCGTAAATTTTACGGCGTAATATTTGTCACAGTAACATGACCCCCTGAACGTGCTGGAGGTGTTTGAACGTCCAAAATGTGCTCAAAGCGTTTTGAGCGGTAATGAACGCCATATAATAAGGCGAAAAAAGGCCAGCTGTCATTCTCGTAGCTAGTAAAT